ATCTCCCTGTGTGGGACCTGCCCCTCCCTCATCTGTTGGCTGGACTGCAAGTTCTCAGAAGGCAGGGGTGGTGTCCTGTCAAATTGTCCCCTAGCACCAGCTGAGTTAGAATCCTGTGAGCAGTTGCTGACCCTGTCTCTGGGTCTCCTTCCACCTGCTGCCATCTGACTCTTTGTCCCTGTTGATCTCCCACTCCCCTGTCTGCCTCTACCCTGCACTCTGCCTTCTGACCTCCCTGCCTCTTTTTCTGTCTGTATGTCTGTCCCCCTCTGCCACCCTCCTCTGTGTCTGTCTCACCCACGCCTCCTCTCTCATTACTGAGCAGGCTGCTTGAGGCCGCCTGACTGTGGGGGTGACAGGTGGATTGGATTGTCACCCCCTCCCCCAGCGCCTGCTGCTTATTTCATGCCCTGCAGCCCAGCCACAGGGAAGGGGCGGGAGGAGGGATGACAGCTGTCTCCAGCGCCTCCTGCCTTCCCCTCCAGTCCGCAGCCTGCAGCCTGGAGCAGCCTGGGAGGGAGGGATGAAGGACTGCCTAATGAGTGCTCCCTCTCTCACTTTCTGAAGAGCAGGTTGAAGCCCAGGGCTCTGTGACACAGGGCCACTCCCTCAGCCTCTCTGAGCATCTGCTCCATTTTGACCTGGGCTGGTGGGAGAGCTCTGGAAGCAGATGTCCTGTCTTTCCTCTGAGCCTCAGGGTGCTGGGATAGGGGTGGGTATAAGTGGAAAGTTGTGGGAGGAGGAGCTGGAGGGAGCCATTGAAGGGCTTGTCCTATACCAGCCCCCCCCCCCACATACACACAGCTCTGCTGCAGCTGCAGTTCCAGGGAGGCTGCCCTGACCGCTCACCCCTCACCCTGGGCCCCAGGCCACCCTCACACAGGAACTGAGATAGCATCATTCTGAAACCTGAGAATGGTTTGAATATTGCTCAGGTACCAAGAGGTGTGACCCTGGAGGGAGGCAGAGGCCTGTTTCTTCTCCCCTGCCCCCTCCAAACCATCCCCCTTTAGGGTACGTTTTGCATGTCATTTGTACCTCATTTGCAACCTGCAGGTTCCAGTTGGGTCTGTAGCCCCTGCTTGGAAAAATGACTAAATGTCGGGCTCCACAGTCTCTATCCCCTTAGCTCTCCCTTCTGGCTGAGGTTGCTTTCAGAGAGGCCTCCTGTGCTGTGTCCTCCCTGCTCTCCATTTGCAAAGGCTTCTCAACCACTCTTCTCCACAGGGGGGGTCTGCACCTGCTTTCTTGTGGCCAGCCTAACTGCCCCTTCCTGCCCTCACTTTGCTTCTCCTGTCTCCATCAGGGGGGCCCTGCCTCCACCCGCCTCCACCCTACCACCTAAGAGATCCACCCTGCCCAGCCCTGCCCTGTCCATGGTTCTATGGGCATCAGAATCAAGCAGCAGAGCCTTTGAAGGGTTACTCTTGATGACACAGATGCTGCCAGCCCAAAGAGTCATATCTATGGCCTGAGCAGCCCTGGGACCATCAGAGGGGAAGACTGTTTTGGCCAACTCCCTATTTGGCAGCTCAAGACTTGCCAAGCTTTGGGCTCCAGGCACCAGGCAGAGTGGAGGTTGGAGGGTTGAAAGGGAAGCAGCCAAGGACCAGGTTATCCTAGAGAGCTTCCTGGAGGAATAAGTGGCCAGAAAGAAGAAGAATGGGGCCAGGCAAGGCTAGGGAGGAGAGACTCACATCTGGAGAACAGATGCCCAGGCCTGCTGGCATTTGGTTAGGTAATAAGGCAGAGGGCTAATTAAGGAGGTCCAGGTGTTCATTAGAATCTCCCTAATTGGGTAGGAGGGAAGCTTGGACAGGACAGGCCTTCACACCTTGGATGGGGTCAGCTTAGGGTTCCTTGTGCCCTCCTGGGCCCCAGCCACCCTTTTTCCTAAAGTCAGGGTTGCCTTGATGTTCTTGCCCCAGGGCTTTCAAAGACCCTGCAACAATTTGGAATGGAAAGCAGAAGGAAAGAGGTTAGTCCAGACTGAGCCTGCTTTGTAGGGGGGTTTATGACGGAGTAGGACGAAGAACTACCCAAGGCAGGGTGTCTCTTCCTCTGTAGTGTTGGCACAGAGGTGGGAGGCCTTGGGAAGCATGGACTTATAGAAAGTGCTTTGGGCTACCTTGGCAGGGAGCTAGGATGGATGGGGACTGGTATTTTTAACCCTGATATGTCTCTATCAGGGGATGCTCAGTGGGTCTCTATGACTTCCCTGCCTTCTCAGCCCTGATCCCTCTCACATCCCAGCTCCCCCAGCATGAGGCGGGGGTGGGGGGTGTAGGAGATCAGCCAGGGAGCTGGTTGCCAGGCGACAGTTGCCTAAGCAACCCCATCCTCTCCATCTCCATGTGCTCAGGGCTGCTCCTTAGAAGACTTTAGAGTCTCACCCTCAGCACCAGCCGACCTGAAGGTTGGGGAGGGTTGAGGAATGGGGTGGCAAGGATATTTAGAGAGTGGGTGGTGTCCAAATGGACAGCCTTCAGGACAAGCAGAAGTGTTCTAGTTTCACAGGAAGAGAGAGGAACTAATAACTGCAGCAGGACTGACAAGAGGTTAGACTGCAAGAAGGACTTTTCACAGGGTCACAGCAATGGACCTTTAAATAGATATTTCCTGAGCTCCTTCTTAGAGGAGATCCAGTAGTGTAAAAAACAGCTATGGTTCATGCCGTCATGAAACTTCAACTTTATTAGGGAAGCCAGGCATTAAACTGAAGCATGGCATTATAATTATTTACAATTGTGAATAGAAAGATTATAAGATGACTTTTCTGAGGGTTATGAGAAAGAGAGGTTGTCTCCTAACTTGAAGGAAGAGACAGCAGCGTTGGCCATAAGCTTACAGAGGTTATGTCTCAGCAAGAAGGTGCTTAGGAACAAAAGGTATTGGGGAGGCAGTAAGCGGGGAGGGAGGTAGATGCCTCAGCAGTACAGGAGCTACCAGGCCAGAGTGGGGGATCTCCAAGGCTGTGGGAGAAGATCATTTGAAAGAAGCCAGTCCTTCATAGCGCCCCAGCCCTGTGTTCCCGCCTCACCTTCCCTGCCAAGGCCCACACTGCAGTGTAGTCCTCAGTTGCTCTGGGGGACAGGGCAGAAACCTTTGGGTTAGAACCTTGGCAATGGGAATTCGGTAGGGATTGGGGTCTCAGGCAAGCTGGAGCTGGTTTGGGGCCACTCAGGGCACACCAGGATGTTGTTGGTGTTGTCCTGGGGCATCTTCAGGGAACTGTAGGAGGCCCAAGGCCCTTGGAGAACCTTGAGGAGGAAGTGGGGAGGAGTGTGTGGGGTCCTATAAGGCGGGAGAGAGTGGCCTTGGCCTTGTCTTCCATAGCTGCCCAGGGAGGGAGGCTCTTTTTCCTGCAGACCTGAGGGGTAGTCCTGTTCCTTGCCTTGTCCACAGGTACTCCCTCTTTCTTCTCTCCCTTCCCTCTGTGTTCAAGATGCTAAGGCTAAATATGGGTATCTGCTGTGGTACCTTAGAGGCCATGTCCGGTGGCAAGGCTCAAGGGACTCAGCTGTGTTCCACTGGCTGGGGCCAGGGGTCGGGGTAGTTCCCTGTCATCAAACGCCTCAGTAACTCCTCTGCCCAGATTGGAGGGTCAGTCCACAGAGCCCATCTCCGTGAACTCTGCACTGGAGTCTTGGGTGGGGTACTGTCAAGGGGAAGACTGGCCTTCTCTGGCTTCTCCAGCCCCTCCTAGGCCCCAAATAGAGTGGCTTTAGAGAGGACAGGCCCCATGCTCACTGCCATTGTTTGACCAAAGACTCCCTGGATAACAGCTAGAGGGGCTCTAAGGCTGTCCTGTTTGTCCATCTCCTAGCTCTGGCTGTGCTGCCTCTCTATGCCCCTCCATCCCCATGCCCCTCCAATCCCCTGGTGCTCCTCACAGTTGGGCAGCACAGGGCTCTGCGCCCTATCCTGCCTCTGGAATTGAAACTGTTGACCAGCGGGCCATGTAGTTCCATGTGTACTGAATGACGATTTCTCTGCCTGGGCCTGCATCCCCTGGCTGCCAGTGGTCTCACCCATGCGTCACTAGGCCCTATATTTTCTCTGTGTACCTTGATGGCAGATTAGGAGTGCTGCTTGTGGACTAGAGTAGGAGTCGGCAAACTCTGACCTTTGGGCTGAATCTAGTCCATGCCTGTTTTTGTAAATACAGATTTATCAGGTCACAGCCTTGCCCATGCTCCGTTGCATGTTGTTGTCAGCTGCTTTCATGCTACAGTGGCAGAGTTGGGTGGTAACAACAGAAACTTTATGGTCTGCAAGGCCTGAAATATTTACTATCTGGCCCCAAATTTGCCATCCTCTAGTCTAAGGAAATGGTATATGTGTTTGTTAAGCAACAAAACCCTTTCTTCAAACAAAAACCAGAAGCTGAGGCCCACTGAGTAAAAACAGGTGGGTGTGGAGGGTCTTATGGAAGGGGAGGTGGGGCTTTTGGATCCCCAGCCCTGAGACAGGTCCCAGGGCCTGGTGAGTCAGATGTAAGGACCACTGCTCCAGACCTGCTCTGATGTTTCTGAACTAGGGCAGCAGAGACACCCATTTTGGTGCCAGGTGTGTCATACTTGCTGCCTGCCGACTGGCAAGTGTGCATGTAGCCGGCTCTGCAGGGCTCCAAGATGGGAACCGCTTCTCTGGGCCAGAGGCAGCTAGAGAGCTCTAGTGTCTCTGCTTTGAGCAGGCCCTGGGAAGAAAGGAGCATGGGGCATTTTCTAAGACCCAGCCCAGGAGATCAATGTACTCTGTCTGACCTAGAAGCTAAGGGCAGCAGTGACTGCAGAGAGAGTCTGGGCGGAGTCCTAGGCCCTGGTATGAGGCCCAGTGTGTGCCTGGCTGTGGCATGGAGACAGTACTGCCTCATTTTGAGGGTGGGGGTTAGACACTGCCACCCTCCCAGGGGTGCTGTGAGCCTGGCCCATGGGCCGAAGAAGTGAGACCAAGAAGCAAGCTGATGCTTAGGGTCCTTTTATGATGCACCCTTCCAGGAGGCTGTGTGCAGCTGTCTTGCAGACCATGAACTGAGCGCCAGTCCCAGACTGTTCATGAGCACAGTGTGAGGTGTGCCGAGACCCACAGCCCGGCAAACCCCTCTGTCCAGCATTGAGGTCCCCCGGAGAAGATGGGGAGGAAAAAGATTCAGATCCAGCGAATCACTGATGAGCGGAACCGGCAGGTGAGTAAATCCTAGAAGTACATGGAGTAGGCTAGGGTGGAGAGCTGGCCTCTGTATCCACTCCGAGGCACTCTAAGAGGGTTTCCTTAGAGAGGGGAACTCTAGAAGCTTTTAGAGAGGGGGAAGGGCTATGGTTGGGAGAAGAGGAGCCCCCACTTTCTTGCAGCATTGTGTCCCAGAACTCAGAGCCTCATCTGCTGCTGCAACCAGGTGGGCTGTGTCCCACACTCAAGTCTTGGGCCACACTGAGGCACTCCCTCGCCCCTAAATGATTCCTTGCCCTCTTTTTTTTTTTTTCTTTTGAGACAGAGTCTCACTTTGTCACCCTTGGTAGAGTGCCCCGGTATCAGCTCGCAGCAACTTCTAACTCTTGGGCTTAAGCAATTCTCTTGCCTCAGCCTCCCAAGTAGCTAGGACAATAGGCACCTGCCACAATGCTGAGCTAGTTTTAGAGACGAAGTTTTGCTCTGGCTCAGGCTGGTCTCGAATCTGTGAGCTCAGGCAATCCACCTTCCTTGGCCTCTCAAGTGCTGAGATTACAGGCATGAGCCACTGCATCCGGCCTCCTTCCCCTCTTTGGCTTTAGGAAGCCCTCTACTCTTCTCTACTGACCTTTTCACTGCCCCCAGCATGGAGGTGTAGAGGTGTGTCTATCTGAATCCTCTCCCTTCAGTGTCCTGGCCATGTGTTGGTGGAGCAGTGGTAGCCTGCTCCTTCCCCAGACCAGGGACTCCTTAGAGCAGGGGCTGTCACCCTGGGAACGGGGACTCTTGGAGACAGGGGCTGTCTGGCTGCCTGTAGGCTGGGATTCCTGGGCACACCTTGACTGAGCCAGACTCGGCCATCTCCTACCTTCCTGCAGGTGACGTTCACCAAGCGGAAGTTTGGGCTGATGAAGAAGGCTTATGAGCTGAGCGTGCTGTGTGACTGCGAGATCGCGCTCATCATCTTCAACCACTCCAACAAGCTGTTCCAGTATGCGAGCACTGACATGGACAAGGTGCTGCTCAAGTACACGGAGTACAACGAGCCGCATGAAAGCCGCACCAATGCCGACATCATCGAGGTGGGCCCGCACCCAGCTCCACCACACCCATACTTGCCCCTGCACATGCCTGATGTGCCTGGCCTGCTGCAGCCCCCTGTGCACACCCAACCACTTCTTCTCATGCAAAGCCTGGGTCTGAGGAGGAAGCCAGGTTGCATACAGGCAAATTGACCCACCAAGCCCACCCCATCCCTCCCCGAGAGTATGTTTCTGTATCTGTCAGGCATGGCATGACCTCTTTCTACTCCATCTTCTCTCTCACTCTTTCTGTTTATGTCTTTCCACCTTGTTCCTATCTATTGGTCTGCTGCTACATCTGCCTCTCCCCTTATTTGTCTCTTTGTTTCCATGTCTCCTGCTCTGTCTCTGTTCCTTTGTGGGTCCCTGTAGTTCTATGTTCTGTTTTAAAGAGAGCTGGCATTGTGAACTATTGAAGGCATGAGGTTTGGAATTTAGCTCTGGCCTTTTCTGGTTACATGGCCTTGGGTAGATGCGTTGGCCTCCTGGAGCTTTGGCCTTTGGGCTCCCTGCACTTCGGTGTCCACCTCTGCAAAATGGACCCAGTGCCTGCTTTGAAGGGCACTGTGTGGATTGAACATTCCTGCTTCTCACACTGAGGTGTGTTTACCTGGGGAGTACAGAACTTGGAGTAATGAAGAGGGTGCTGGGAAGCCATAGGCCTGGTCAGAGATTTAGATGAAAGTCTCTTTTTTTGGAGACAGAGTCTTGCTCTGTTGCCCTGGGTAGAGTGCCCTGACATCGTATCTCACAGCAACCTCAAACTCTTGGGCTTGAGCAAGATTTCTGCCTCAGCCTCCTGAGTAGCTAGGATGACAGGCAACCGCCACAATACCTGGGCCTGGCTAATATTTCTATTTTTAGTAGAGACATGGTCTCACTCTTGCTCAGGCTGGTCTCAAATTCCTGAGCTCAGGCCATCCACCCATTTTGGCCTCCCAGAATGCTGGGATTACATGTATGAGCCACAACACCTGGTCTACTTTTTTTGAGACAGTCCCACTATGTCGCCCTCAGTAGAGTACTGTGGTATCACAGCTCACAGCAACCTCAAACTCTGAGGCTTAAGTGATTCTCTTGCCTCAGCCTTCCAAGTAGCTGGGACTACCCAGCTGACCACAATGCCCCGTTATTTTGTTGTTGTTGTAGTTGTTGTTTAGCAAGGCCTGGGCCAGGTTTGTACCCGCCAGCCCCAGGGTATGTGGTTGGCACCCTAACCACTGAGTTACGGGCACCAAGCTAGACCTGCTTGCCTTTATGTTAGAGAAAAGACTTACTCTAGATTAGAATGTAAAACTTAGCGTTCATTTTAAAGACAAAGCAAGTATCTGTCAGAATATTTTGAGCATGCTGAGGACAGCTTTGGGCTCTACTGCAGACCTACCAGGGAGCTTCCACAGCATCCCACTGTACTTTTCTGTATCATTCCTATGTCTGTCTCCAGGTCCTTCTCTCTCAACCCCATTTTTCCTCAGTACAGCCCAGGGATTGGGATGGAAAACCTCCCTAACTCCCGCCCAGGCTTAGCCCATCCCTGTGGAGCCTCTTCCCCACCTGCAGTGAAGTAATGTGTCCATTCAAGGTGCACTTTCCTTGAGTCCCCCTTGGTCCCTGTGTTCTGATGCCCCCCCAATCAAGCAGATCTCTGCAGGGTGCCCAGGGCTGTGCTCTCACTGTCGGTGGGGAGGGCTGGAAGGAGCTGGGGGAGGTGGTGGGGCCCTGGCCTGACATGCAGTGCGGTTACAGACCCTGAGGAAGAAGGGCTTCAACGGCTGCGACAGCCCAGAGCCCGACGGGGAGGACTCACTGGAGCAGAGCCCCCTGCTGGAGGACAAGTACCGGCGCGCCAGCGAGGAGCTGGACGGGCTCTTCCGGCGCTATGGGGTGAGCCCTACTCATCTCTGTCGCCACCACCCCTCCCCCCAGGCGCTGCACAAGAAGCACAGGGAATGTGAGAGCCCCGAGGTGGACGAGGTGTTTGCCCTGACCCCCCAGACGGAGGAGAAATATAAAAAGATAGACGAGGAGTTTGATAAAATGATGCAGAGTTATAGACTGGCCGTGAGTAGTCGCGGGGAGGAGAGCCCCGCCTGCATGGTGTGGCTTCGCGCCCTGCCCCAGCCATCGGCTGCCTCTGATGGGTGTTCTGCTCTGAGCCATGTTGGGGCTGTTAGTGACCACTGAGGAACCTCTGACCTTGGTCACGATAAGTCTGTGACCCTTGCCGAGACTTGTCTTGGGTGGAACATAAGCCGGAAAGGCCTGGAGTGTGCTTCTTACCAGCAAGAGTGTGTAGAAAACCCGAGATCCTTAGAGGACAGGAAAGCAGAATGTGCCTTTTGCCCAGATGTCTTTTTGGGGAGAGGCCTCCTTGGCCTCTGATGCTCCAGCCAAAGGCTTTTGGCACTGTTAGGGAAGTGGCAGGACTCCCCCTATAGTTGGCTGGTGGATGAGAGACTGCTGTGAGCCCAGTTTGCCCCAGCCCATGGAGCCAGTCTTAGCAGCCTTGTGTGTGTGGACTGGGTCTATACTCAGGGCCTCTAACCTGCCCCAGTGTGTCTTGCCTGGCTGAGGACTAACCTGCCTCCACTAGGGGTGTCCCTGGTCCTGCCTGCAGGGGCAGAGCCTTGCTCTCATTCTCCAGGCAGAGCTGGACCCCAAAGCTCTTCCCTGCTGGGAGTGGCAGGCAGGACTCCAAGAGGGCCCAGGGCAAGGACTCAAACTGCTGGTCCCAGGATGCATAGCCCAGAAATAGAAAACCCTTGCCTGCCCCCCAGGCAAAGTGGGCTCAGGGTAAGGGGTTGGCCTGTCCTGACGCTGCCTCTTCATCTTTCTGTCTAGTCAGCTGTCCCAGCCCCCAACTTTGCCATGCCTGTCACGGTGCCCGTGTCAAATCAGAGCTCACTGCAGTTCAGCAATCCTAGTGGCTCCCTGGTCACCCCTTCCCTGGTGACATCATCCCTCACAGACCCGCGGCTCCTGTCTCCCCAACAGCCAGCACTACAGAGGAACAGTGTGTCTCCCGGCCTGCCCCAGCGGCCAGCTAGTGCAGGTGAGTAGACTGGCAGGTGGTAGATGAGTGGAAATAAGGTGTAACGGAAACTTTGGGATTTTTTTTTTTTTTTTTGAGACTCTGTGCCATGGCATCATAGCTCACAGCAACCTCAAACTCTTAGGCTCAAGTGATCCTCTTGCCTAAGCCTCCCGAATAGCAGGGACTATAGGCCCCCACCACAATGCCTGGCAATTTTTTTTTTTATTTTTTTGCACATTTTGGCTGGAACTGGGTTTGAACCTGCCACCTCCGGCATATGGGGCTGGCACCCTACTCCTTTGAGCCGCAGGTGCCGCACCCCTGGCAATTTTTTTTTTAGAGACAGAGTTTTACTCTGTCACCCTTGGTAGAGTGCCGTGGCGTCACACAGCTCACAACAACCTCCAACTCCTGGATTTAGGCGATTCTCTTACCTCAACCTCCTAAGTAGCTGGAACTACAGGCGCCCACCACACGCCCGGCTAGTCTGGCATTTTTTTTTTAGAGACGGAATCTTGCTCTTGCTCAGGCTGGTCTTGAACTCCTGAGCTCAAGCAGTCCACCCACCTCGGCCTCCCAGAGTGCTAAGATTACAGGTGTGAGCCACCACGCCCAATCTGGGATTCCATTTTCAACAGGGCATATATCTCTTCACCCACCACAACAACCCTCATTCATGTGGTTCCTTCTCCTGGGTCCCCTCTTCCTGTTCAGTCCCCAGTACTTACTTTGGAGGGGGATAGGCCATCAGTTGTCATGGTTCTGTTTCTCCTCCAGGGGCCATGCTGGGGGGAGAGCTGACCAGTGCTAACGGCGCCTGCCCCAGCCCTGTCGGTGAGTGCAGCCAGCCGTTGCTGGAGTGGGGAAGTCTGCCTGTTCAGGGGCCCCAGGAGCCCTAGAGCCCAAGGACCAGAAAGGACCTAGATTAGAAGAGAGCAAAATCCCAGGATCTGAACTGGATAAAGAGGCAGAGGTTTTTTTTTTTTTTAGACGGAGCCTCAAGCTATCCCCTTGGGTAGAGTGCCATGGCATCACAGCTCACAGCAACCTCCAACTCCTGGGCTCAAGCGAGTCTCCTGCCTCAGCC